TGGGATTTTTCATTTGTTTGAAATCATAGTGGTTCTTATGTTTGCATTGTACCCTTCAGTTTTCAAAGAAAGTCCTCTTCGTGCACTCATTTAACTGTCCCCTGGCCTTCTGGGGGGTTCCCCACGGGTGGAATGTTTCCTTCTTGGTAGTTCTTTATATTTCTACGCGGGTTTATGCATTTCTGTCTGGCACAGCTTCTGCCATTTAAACACAGGGACTAGGCAATCCCACTAGGAAAACAGATGGAAAGGCACGAAACGGATCCAAGTATATGCTAGTTAATGCGTTCATTCATCCATTCACCCACTCAGCCACTTTACTCATTAAATAAATAATTATTAAATACATATTATGGCAACATCTTTCATTTGAGGGACTGGGATACATAATATTTAGATGTAGAATACGGAGTAGGAAAACTTCCATTTAAGTGCTTGTCCTGACACTTACTAGGTTTCTAATTTTTTCTAGGCAGTTGGGAACTTCTGTAGTCATTCTGTGGTGTGCTAGCGCTCTCTTTTTCTGTTCTAATTTTGAAAAAGCCAATAAAACAGGAATAGAATTGCCCAGTGATTACAGCTGGTGCCAGGCAAGCCAGGGGACTTCAGGACAGGTGAAGAAGCCTGGCCACGCCCAGCAGCGCCTCCTGCTACCACCCGCCATACACAGAGACTCAGTGGCAACCCCAGATTTACTATAGTGCCTTCTTTCCAATTAAGGTAGAAGTGGGTACTCAAATGCATCTGACTCTAGGAAAGACCCAGGTGAAGAAGGTGCCCGTCCTGGAATAAATGCAGGTTCACCACCTTCACTGCAATAACTGTGCCTGTGGAGCGACAGGGCTGGGGTGTGTTCTAATCAGGCCTTCAGCAAATGGAGCTGAATTCTCTAGAGCGGGTAGAAAGAACAAATGCTAAAGCAGGAAGAGCTCGTTGCAGACTCTGTCACAGATTTGGACAAACGTTGAGCAGTTTCCTTAATCATCCTTAGCCTCAGTTTTTTCACCTGTAAAACAGAGACCATGGTGGTATCTGCTTTCTAGGGTTACTGGAAGATCAGAGGAGCCAGTGTCCGTTAAGCACCCCTTTGATGCTTGGTCTTGGGCACATACCCTGTGAGGTTGTCTGGGACCATGTTTATGGGTTGGGCATTTTCTAAGTGCTAGGGCTTCAGGGATGGACATGGATCTCAACCTTCAGAGAATTTGTAATCTATCAGGTTGGCACCTTTAAACAAATATCTGTTTAATCACAACCCTGGGAAGTGCTACAATGAAGAAGACACAATCCTTATAGGAAGTGGAATAAGGCAAACAGCTTCATCTGTGGACTCAGGAAAGGCCTTCCTGGCAATAGGTGGCTCTGTGGGAGTGTTGCCTGGGAAAGAAGAGGAGGTCAGAGCTGACTATTTCGTATCTGATCAGAGTGTTTTTACAACAGGTTAAAAAGGGGTGAATTATTCACCAAATTATGCTGGGATGAAAGTCTGGCATTTGGGAGAAAATTCTAAGTTAATTTTCCTATGACCTACTGCAAAATAATTTTTACATAAAGTGCTAGACATGAAAAGTAAAGCCACAAAATAATTAAAAGGAAATAAATAATTGTACCCTTTTGGGAAAGGAATTTCGAAGTATTACTTCAGAGGCTGAATGCCTGCTAGAAAAGCTTGTAGATATTTTTTAAGAGGCTTATGTTTCTGAATGTTAAAAGATACTATTTAAAAAACACAAATAAAAGATGAATTTGGAAAACTGTTTGTAAAATTGACAATAGAAGGTTGGTATCCTTAAGATATAAGAGGCTCGGCTCGGCGCCTGTGGCTCAAGCGGCTAAGGCGCCAGCCACATACACCTAAGGTGGCAGGTTCGAATCCAGCCCAGACCCCCCAAACAACAATAATGGCTGCAACCAAAAAATAGCTGGGTGTTGTGGCGGGTGCCTGTGGTCCCAGCTACTTGGGAGGCAGAGGCAGGAAACTCGCTTGAGCCCAGGAGTTGGAGGTTGCTATGAGCAATGAAGCCATAGCACTCTACCCAGGGGGACAGCTTGAGGCTCTGTCTCAAAAAAAAAAAAAAGATATAAGAGGCTCATGTTAGTAAGAAATCCACATAATCTCTGTGAGAGTAGGGACCTTGCCTGCTCTTTTCCACATAGTACCCTAGCACCCAGCATAGTCCCTAAAAGAATTAATGAATGGACCAGCCAGTCATGACAGAAACTGGGCAAAGTACATAGGCAGTTTACTAAAAAGAGAAACATGGCCGGGTACAGTGACTCACACCTGTAAACCTAGCCCTTCAGGAGGTTGAGGTGGGAGGCTCACTTGAGGCCAGGAATTTGAGAAATAGCCTGAGCAAAAACAAGACCTTTAGTCTATAGAAAATAGAAAACTTAGCTGAGTGACATCGTGGGTATCTGTAGTCCCAGCCACTCAGGCATCCGAGGCAGAAGAATCGCTTGAACCCAGAGGTTTTGGGTTGCAGTGAGCTATGCTGACACCTTTGCACTCCAGCCTGGGCCACAGGGCAAGACACTGTCAAAAAAAAATTAGTCCCTGGTGTCTTTTCCCACAAGAAAGAAAGGGGAAAAGAAAAGGCAAAAGAAAAAAGAAAAGACACCAGTGACTAATTCCCATGTGAAAAATGTGACTTAAAACACAGATGAAAGCACCGTTGGCGTGTCGCTTTTAGCCATCGATTTGGCACATTTTAAAAACAAAAGTAATACCCAGTGTTGGTGAGGATTCCAGGAAACAGGTACTTGCTTACTGCTGATGGGAGTGTCCCTGTGCTGCTGCTATTGAATAATCTGGTGATATGCCTTCAAGTTTCTACTCCTGAGTCAAAAATAAGCATTTTGACCCCCAAACTCTATAGAATTTATTCTGTAGAAATAATCAACAATCTTGCAGAGATGCAGTGATATATCATTAAGTAAATAAACTGACTACAGAATAGCAGGTTGGCATAATCCCATTTTTTTAAATGTTTCTGCACACATACCCCACACCTAGAAAAAAGATGGCAAAGTGTCCTGCGAAAATAACACTATTAATGTTTCCAGGTGGTAAGACCGTAGATAACTTTATTTTCTTACTTGTTTGCTTTTCTCTTTTTCCTTCTCATTTTCCTTCAATGGGCAAGCATGGCTTGTAGAATAAAAAAGAGATTTAAAAAATCATTCTTTTAGAAAATAAATCATAGCTGTGTACACTAATGCAATCATGGGGTACAATGTGCTGACCTCATATACAAATCTGAAATATTTTTATCAAACTGGTTAACATAGCCTTCACTGCACCTTCTCAGTTATTGTGTTAAGATCAAAGAGTGATTTTTACATAGTGATGGAAGAGATAATGAAACTGTCATAACTGGCATCAGATAGGGGCATTAATTCAATTCAGCCCTTTCCGCAGGGCTATTTGCCATTGTGTGAAAATTATAAAGATACCCAGTATGAATTCAGTAATCTCCTGTCCAGGCTCTGGAATGACATTTATCATCTCTGGGTCGTGGATTGTAGACTCATTTCACTGAAGCTCTTTGTTGTGTATATTTTCCAAGTTTTCAGAAAAGAACATGCAGAAAAGAATAAAGGTAATAAATTAGGGGCTTTTTGTAGGTTCTCTTGGTTGTCATTTTCTTGTCAAGGAGATGAACTGGGAACCCAAACGTGTCCCCCCAAGTTGCTGCCCACACTTAGGCAAACTTTATAGGAGCGTATATGCAGTATTTCTCATTCCTCATGGAGAAATATGAGTAGTACATTAAAGTAATAAAGATGGGCAGACATGTGAAAAGTGTTCTTATGTCCCAAGACATTTAATTCGACATTAAAAAAAAATCCTAGAACATGGCAAGTCCCATGTAAAGTGATAGAGTGGTGGTTCTGAATACCCATCAGTCTGTCTTCAGCTCGGAGGATCCGGGGTGATCCAGGAGTCGGGGAATTGTGTGTATGAGGCACACAGCCAACCTGAGGGGTAACAAAGCCCGTGTTTTATTATTTAATAAAATAAGCCATCCCGCTCATAGAAATTCAAATCCATATTACTCCCTTTCGCAGGGGGAAGTTAGAGAATTATTCTAGTGCTTCTGATAGCCACAGTGGAATGAGCTCCCTGTGGGCCCATCCCCCAGCTTCAGCAGCTGCTGCATTTTGCCAACCCGTGCCTACCCCCACTTGTGTTACTGTAATATTTTAAAAATTTAAGATATCATGGCATTTCACCCCTAAAGACTTCATCTTCTACATTTTTCACCGGTAAATATATTCATCCCTAACTGAAAACAATGATTTTTAACTAGTCATCACACCATTATGCCGCCTAACGAAATGAATGATACTCCCTGGTTATTATTCAGTATTCACATTGTATCTTTCTTTTCCTAATTGTTTCAAAATTTCTTTTCTACCATTGGCTGGTTTGAATCGAGATTCAAAAAAGGTCCAAATATTGCATTGAATTATTATATTTCAGTGCCTCTTTCAAAACATGTTAAAACTTGGGTCATTCAGCAGAGTGAATGTATATCATTGTGCCTCCACGTACAACACAGGAAAACCAGAATTTTTACTTTAGTCATTCCTCTTCATTACTGTTAGTGAAACTCTGTTACATAGTTGGATTGTCTCACGTGTCAGATCCTCTCTCTGAATGACCTCTGGCTTTTTCTAAAATTAAGTCTACTTCAGTGCCCAGCTATTATTTGCAAATTAGGATAATTAAATCTGCCTTCCAATAGTTCTCCGCTGTCTAGGCGGATTTAGAAGTGTAATCCCAAGACAGGTTCAAGGCAGTGAATTGCAGGTGATAGTTCTCAAAGGGTCTGAGTTGAGGGGCCCACTTTCCTTGGTGCAGAAATTAAAGACCGATAACATCACCTCATCCGCGTGAGCCGAGTGTATAAATGCCTCCCCACTTGACTGACCTGTTCCAGCAGGTGCTATTTGATTTACCACTAGGTGTAATTGATTGATTTGTTTTCACACAGATAATCGCCTATCAGCCGTATGGGAAATCCGTGGACTGGTGGGCCTATGGTGTCCTGCTGTACGAGATGCTCGCCGGGCAGGTAACGTTCTGCTACCTGTTCATGTTTGCTCATCGCCACGCCACACGAATACTTCAGCTGTCTTGGTGCGCTGAGAGCGGGATCTAGCGGGGTGGTGTGGCTGGTGGTGGTCTGACTTCCCCGACCCAGGTGAAAGAGGACAAAATTCTGCCGTGAAAAGTGGATCATACTCAGACCGCAGTTAAGTTTTCAGGATCTCAAACTGGGGTTGGGGTATGGTTTCCCGTCAGTTTGTCTACAAAGGTTACCCCAGCTCTCCCCAAGTGTATAATTGGTATTATTATCTAAGGAAGAAGACAGCTAACTTTGGAGAAGTGTTTTAATAGCTCCTTCCCGTTTCCTCCTATCTCACCCTTGGCAATTCCTTGTAATTTTCACAGAAGTCCAGTGAGGCTGAACTTGTAGTTAACAAAAGGCAAATTAAGTTTCTCTTAGAGCGCAACATATATCAGATAAGCAAGTTATCTAACAGCCTTAATGTTTGTTTCATGGAGCTAAGTCATGCTACCTATGCCAACAGACAGGCCCAGCACATAGTACAGGTTTATTTCATGCCCTTGGCACAGCCCTATGTGGGGAAGGGGCACTGATCCACACGGTCATTCAGGGATCCAGGTTTCTTCCATCCGTCAGCTCTGCCATCTTTTAGGGCCTCCCATCTCCCCTCTGATTCCTCCTCATTTCAGCCAACCACTGAAGAGAAAACAAGATAATTGTGCAAAATGTTTTAGTGGCCGGGCCTAGAGGTGGCACATAACACTTCTGCCTACATTCCACTGGCAACTTGGTCCCACTCAGATATAAATAGGGATGTATAGTGTGTCTGAGGGGTCGGCATGGGGAACCAGGTTTGGTAATCATCCAGCAGATTTCTGCCTTTATACTAAAGATGAGTCTGTCGTGGGCAGTGTTTTATAATTCCCAGCACTCAAGTAATAGTGCCAAGTGGAGTTTGGAGCTTGTCCCTAGCCAAAAGCCTTCATAAGAGACAATATGAAGAAAAGCCCAGTGTTGTGCAGCAGAGGTACCCCCAAAGAATTCTTTGTTTCTGGAGAAAAGGGTTACCCTTTCAGACATGTTACATGCACCGACTCAGTCATTTATTCTTTCAACATGTATTTATCAGTGCTTACTATGTCTGGCAATAGGAGCAAACAAAAGAGACAAAAGTCCTTACCCTCTGAAGCTCCCAGCCTAGAGGAGGAGAGGCAGTAGATAAATTGGATAAGGAAAATATGTAATATGTCCCAGATAAGCTAAAACAAAAAGTAAGACAACGGGAAGAGAAGCTGGTGTTGAGGGAGAGTTGAACTTTTAGCTCAGATGGCCAAAGAGGGCCTCACATAGAAGATAAAGTGGAGTGGTGATTAGAAGGAAATGCAGGAATGTCTGTGTGCAAATCTGGAGAGAGGATTCCAGGCAGCGGGGCGGCTCGTGCAAAGGCCCTGAGGTAGGAGTGGGAGAGGAAGCCTCCAGCATGGCTGGAGCAGAGTGAGCTAGAGGGGCAGGGAGGAGACGCCTGAAGTCAGAGCGGCAGAGGCTCCAGATTCCCGGAGCACAGAGGTTATCCTGAGACCAGTGGCTTTCACAGTGCGTTCTAAGTCATGGCTGCTTCTCCTTGGGTCTCCTTCATCATGCCTTGTATCTCTTAGATACTAAATCAGTCTTTCGGACAGTGGAAGATTTAAGGTATTAATCTGCATTTGATCATTACTTCTCAATAGTGTTAAGACTTGTTTGGCATTAAAAAACAGATTTATTTATTTAGTGTTTAGAGTTTTTCCACCTCCAATCAAAACGTTTTTCATAGGCCAAATACCTCAGTGGAAAGGCAGGTTACACACAACTGCTGTCAGTGAGACAATAGCTGGAGAAACACAAGTCACCTGTGCCTGAAGTTAATTTCCCTTCTTTACATTTTTGACAATAAGATTTGATTCCAAATTGCCAGCCCCTGGGAACCATGCTATTCATGAAGGCACAAAAAGCCAACTTCCCTTCCTCGATCCTACTTGAAGGTCCAGAAAACAAACACTGCTTTCATTAAGGATCACATCTGCATATGCCAACAAGCGAAATCAGTTGTATAGAAACATAGCTGGGATCCATTTCCAAGGGCACTTTACAAGAGCTCACGTGAGCTGGCCAGCAGAGTAAAATTCTAGAACACAGGCCCTCAGGGAAGTCCTCTGTCCCTCCTGATCCCTGGTTTCCCTCTTCACCACACCTTCCTGGGGCTTCATTCCCTAGGGAAGAGCTCAGGGACTGCTCTGTTCCAACAGAAAAGTCCCCTTGGGAGGACATTGTGAAGTCCTACCTTCATCAGGCCTCATTTGCAAACTGCCCCTGAGATGATTTCCAGGCCTTCCTTGAGGGTTTCCTTAACCTTGGTCATGCATGGGCAGAGCTCGGGTTCCTGCTGTCTGTACCCAGTGGTTCCCTAACATTCCATCATTTTCCCATCCCACTTCTCAGCGCCAATTAGCCCGTCTTGTATGCATCCCTGGAAGTCTTCATAATCTCTGTTGAAAATGGTGATATTCTTCTTAAAGACATCCCACATTCCGGTGCCACGCAGGCACAGATAACAGCCTTTCTTCCTTTAAATCTTCACTGTGCCTGCTGCAAACAGTATTTTCATTCAGACTCGCTTCTTCATCTTCCTCTCTGACTCCTCAATGCAAATTTAAATGTATTCCCCAGCTGTGACTCAGCCCCAGAGAGAATAATGAAGGCTCTGCTGGTGCTGCCCACAGCCCTGCAAAGTGCCAGAAGCCTCAGAGACCCAGCAGAGGGAATAGATGCTGTTATTGAAAAGTAAGATTAATTATCAAGTTGTTGATGGAGCTGGTCCTCTTTAATCACAGAGGGCTGGAGATGACCAGGAAAATAAAGTTCATTGCAAATTTTCTTCTCATTTGCTTTATTTATTGCCAGCAGCCAAGGGGACAGTTAAGCATAAACAGCCTGAGTCTATTCAGCTGCTGAATCTCTTGACAAATCTGATCAGTTTTAAGGCATAAATAGTATTTACCCAGCACTCTAATGAGTACACTGTGGTTTGAAATGTTCACAGTGTTCATCATAAAAGGCCCGGCCCTCTCTTCCTTATGTCCCTCTCTGCCAAGGTTATTTATGCTTTGTCTTCATTCCTGATGAATCAGTAATTGCCACTTTATCTATGAACTTCAGCCTGAGTTATCCATGAGTGTCCTCCCACCCCCCACCTCAGGTTCTCAGTGATTGGCAAATAAACATGGCAGGGTGCCGATGGCTGCTTACTCTAGTGAGTAATTTAGGAATAATGTTCTACCCTAGCTAGTTGGGAGGCTAAAGTGGGAAGATTGCTTTAGCCCAGGAGTTCAAGGCTACAGTGAGCTATCATCATGCCATGTGTATTCCAGCCTGGGCAATAGAACAAGACCCTGCCTCTTAAAAAAAAAAGAATAATAATTTTGTAAAGTGTAACATGTTACTCCTCATGTGTCCAGGGTTTTTTTGGATATTTTTTTTTAGAGACAGAGTCTCACTTTGTCGACCTCGGTAGAGTGCTGTGGCATCACAGCTCACAGCAACCTCCAGCTCTTGGGCTTAGGCAATTCTCTTGCCTCAGCCTCCCAAGTAGCTGGGACTATAGGCGCCCACCACAATGCCCAGCTATTTTTTTATTGTTATTGTTTCAATTTAGCCGGGGGTTGGTTCAAACCCGCTACCCTCGGTATATGGGGCCGGCACCCTACTCACTGAGCCACAGGCACGGCCCATGTGTGTGTTTAAAACCCACAAATTACATATTGTTAAACTGGGGGGAGGGATTGAGGAGAATGTAACCCATTCAGAATTTTTTTACAGTAACCCAAGACTTGTTAACAGGGGACTTAGCTTAGAACATTGAGTTCAGATTTATAGAAATTAAAAAATAACCATGAAAATGGAGAAAGAGGAGAGAGAAGCCATCCAAAATGGTCAGATATTAAGTACATACATGACAGTAGTCCTGCTGTCCCCAGGCTAGGTGGCTGGCATTACTGGAAAGGAAAAGAAATATCATAATTTCCACCATTGACTTGCCTTTAAAACACCGGAGCCTAGGAGCAAGTGATTACCTGTCAGAATGCTCCAGCGGTGGCCTGAAGGGTCTTAACAAGAGCCATAAACATGTTCACATCCTTCAGCCACATAATGCCACACCTGGGACGTTATTCTTAGGAAGTAATTTGGAGAAGAGAAAAAAGATTACATATAGATGTTTACGGATGAATTAGTTATTAGGGTACAGTGCTGGAAACAATTGCAAACGTGCTTGTAGACCACTGGATCAGTCATGATGATGTATCACCCCAGTGGCATTCTGTTCTGAAGGAGAACGCAGGGTCTGTAGAGAACATGTGTTTGCAACAGTCGGTGAAAAACAAGGAACTCCAAATTATGCATTGTAATTTGAAAATAATGTAAGAGAGCCTAAGAATCTATGTTAAAATAAGAGCAGTTTTGTGTTTAGGTAAAGGGAACATGGATGCTTCTTTCATGGATTGCACCTGCCCCCAGTATTGAATAAATTTGATTTAAAATAGAGTTCCAGGAAGCTTTTCTGAATGTGATGGTCGTGATTGCTATTCAACAGGTCTCCCTCCTGGCGCTGGGTAGGATTGTACTTCCTGGCTCCCTTGTAGGTGGGCGGGGCACATGACCGGTGCTGGCCAATCAGATAGCAGAGGAAGTGCTGGGGTGGGGACTTGAAGTGCAGGCCTGAGACAGCCCAGAGCGCATGCTCCAGCCCCACACTGGCAGGGCCAAGATGGCGACGGCTGGGTGAATCCAGGAAGCCGATCCCTCTGCCGGCCCCAGGGGACCTATAGCATAAGCCAGAAAGAAAATGTGTTGGCTTAAGCGTGGGAGATGTTCTCAGTTGTTCGTTGCCATACAGGACCTAGCCTGTCGTTACCGTAGATCCCTGAAGGCACAGTTAAGATACAGATAGTTCACGTAGTGAAGTTAGCCAGTCACAAGAGGACACGTACCGTGCGATCCCGTTTACAAGAGTGCCTGGAGTAGACAAATTCATAGTGACAGAGAGTAGATGGAAGTTGCCAGGGGCTGCAGGGACAGGATGACGAGCAGTTTGTGTTTAATGAGTGCAGTTTCAGTTGAGAAGGTGGGTGGTAGTGATAGTTAATGGTGAACTTAATGCCACAGTGCTGTGTGCTCCAAGTGATGATCAATTTTGCTACATATATTTTATAACAACAACAACAAAAATAGCGTGTATCTTTGCAACAGAGGAAAGAGTAGGAAAAAGTATATGTTTGATTTGATGACATGCCCAAAACTGGGAGGAGGTGCTTAACCACACCTGTCCTGTTTACCCAAGGACAGGCCCCCTCTGCCTCCTTGCAGGTGGTTCCAGAAGCAGCAGAGCAGCTGCACAAAGTCTGCAGCTGTGAGAAGAGGCCAACCTGATTGCCCTCCATTAGATCTGGGGAATCAGGCCAGATCTCTAGCCTAGAGGCGAGTCCCCTCTAGGCAATGACTTAAAACATCTCAGGCCCCTGAGGCCGCCCACTGAGTTTTCAGAACTCACCACTCCATATTGTGCAGGATGTGAATCAGCCCTCTAAAGTTAACCAAGACACTCTTCCCCGACGTTCTTCGTGTGCTGAGAGGACCAGCAGCTGAGCACCCCCCACCCGACCCTATCTAGCCCCTACCAGGAGTGGCACTGGGGTCATCTTTTACTGGCTAAATATGGGGCAAGTGAGAGAAAGTGGCATTGCTCATGATGGCAAAGAGCCCAAGCCCCAAGGTCAGGATGCCGGGGCTAGTCCCTGCACCCTAAGACTATTCTGAGGGTTGAGTGAGGAGTACTGACAAAGCACCGCCCCCCCCCCCCCGTGCCTGCTATGCAGAAAGCTTGAGACATGAGCGTCACTGTTGTCACTGGTGCTGCTCTTCTCATGCCCACTGTCTTCCTCCTCTATCAGGCAATATAGTCTCACAGTGGGTGAAAAATGTGGGTGTGTCCCCTCCCTGTGATGTAGTGACAGGAGAAGCCCGAATCCTTGGAACCACACCAGAGATAGAACACATGGAGAATCTTGAGTCTGTGTCACAGGAGAACTTGGTCTTGTGGCTTCTGGTATAGCTTAGGAATCTTACTGCAACAAACAAGCTTCAGAAGACTCGGAGTGTCATTCCAACCCCAGATTAACCACGCATGTTGGGTGAAACAGCCGTCTATGTTGCAGGACTTCTCAGAGCTCTTTAAGATGAAAATGTTAATACAGATAGCTCCAGAAAGGGGTATACAATGCAAACTTTGACCCAGAAATATACTGTAGAGTTGGATATTCTAAGGAAAACTCCTTGGGGTGTGTCAGGATCCTGGTGTCCTGTCCTCAGTGGGGCCCAGAGACGACTACCTGGTGAAAGTCCTCCCTCGACCCACAGAATCGAATCCCTGATACAGCTGTTTTCATTTCAGAAATTAGCATAGGTGGGGGCGGCTGACCTGGTAAAGCTGGTTCCCGTGTCTATCATGAGGCATGGAGCAAGTATAGTGGGTCAGTTTGGGGGGTGGGGGAGTGGAGAGGTAGCAGCTTCAAATGAGCATCTTCTCACTGCCTCGCTCCAGGAAGATTCCTAGGCAAAGTTCACCTGCACTTTGGTGGGAAAAGTGTCTGTCACCTTTCCTTTGAATTGTCTGTGACTCTCGGCAGCATCCCTGCTGCTAGTACTTGAGCACCTCCAAGAGGCTGGTGGAATCTCATCGGCACCTTTGTTCCCCACTGAGCAAAGTGCACCACATTTGGCCAGCTTCAGGGCATGCAGCCCACATGGTGGCATAGGGCCCAAGCTCAGGAGACCCCTGTGTGTTTGGTTTAGTCCTCTGTTGGCCCCATCACAAAGTTCTTAATTAATAAGGGGACCCACATTTCCATGTTGTGCTGAGATCTGCAAAGTATGTAATTGGTTCCGACCACCAATGGTGGCCCCCATCATGGGCCACGTTGTGAGGTGCCTGTCAGTAACCTAGAAGCCAAGTAGCTGCCCTGCTCACCTCCAGAGCACGTCCACCCTTAGGGGAGCATGCGCATAGCACCTTCAGATGCTTGGTGTCCCCACAGGCGAAGATACAGAGGTACAGGTCACAGCCCAGAGCAGAAACCACTCCACATTTTAGTTATAAAAATCTCCTCTGCCAAAACATCGGCCACATTTATGAATCACTGAGGAGGGAAAATGGGACATGTTGTGGGTGTCATACAGTAGGCATCCAGAAGAAGTGGGTTGTGCACTGTCGGGCAGGGAAGACGTGGTGGGGTGGCCCTGGGGCTGGCCTGTGCCGCAGCTTTCAGCTGGGTACACATCCTCCTGCTGACACAGATGGCGTCCACAGCCTGCACTCCCCTGGGGCCTCCCAGGCACCAAGTCACTCCTGCCTGTGGAAGTTGCCCGGGCAGGCTATCGCTGCCTCTGCCTCGCTCCAAGTCACCTGCAGGCAAGCTAATTTTACTTCTCACCCAGCTGTGTGCTTCTACCAAATTAAACTTTTTTTACACCAAGCATTTATAAATAAATATATTTCAAGACCAAAAAAGAAAAAAGTTAAGTGAAACAGGCACCCGACGCCCTGTTCTCATTTACCTGGTGCTAAAGTAGGCTCTTTAGAGACTTGGCATCTTTCCCTCAGGGCAGTGGCTCCCGTGTACTGACCCCAGGCCCAGCTCCTGTCCAGGGCTGGGTCTCAGGGTGTGAGATGAACAGGTTGGGAGGATCTGTGGGAGGGGAGAGATCACCTCACCTGGGTTGCTCTGTCTCACTCGGGAGGGGGGAGTCTGGTAAGAAGGGGCATCCTGCCAGCCGTGCAGTTGTCTTTGATTTGTGATGTAGTTTTCTTTTTCATTTCAGATTGATATGAGGGTACATGCAATTAGGCCACATAGTTTGCTTTTGTAAGGTTAAGGTCCAGGTTGTAGTTGTGTCCTCCACCCAGGAGGTGCCGCCTCTACTCAGGCAGCATCCTCAGCCCCTCCCTCCCACCTGAGTGCAGCTGAGTTTTTCTCTCAGGCCAGCATGTAGTTAGTGGTTAATCTACTTGTTTCCATTTCCTGCTGAGTGCAGGTCATGCCTGTTTTCTTGACGTAGTTTTGATTTAAGCCAAACGCCATCAGTAACCCAAGCCAGCCAAAGTGGCTGACTCCCCTGTGAGATAAAACATAGGATAAAACTTTCTGGGCAAGGGATGCCCCTGGCCTGCACTTTTTATGCTAAGCTCAAGGTTACAGTAAGGAATTCCCTGTGACCCCTTCCTCCTGTGTGCCATCTGGCCAGAGTGACAGGTAATTTGACAGGTTGCTGGGGATTAAAGACATGCTGGTGGGGAAAGCGTGAGGGGCACCCCGAGCTCAGCCTTTCCTCCCGGAGGATTCAAAGCCCCTCCCAAGAGGTCATCTTCCTTAAATAACACTGGCCTGCAGCCTCCACTGGGCACAAAACAAAATAGCAGGTGCTTTCTGTACTTACCAGACACCCTATTTTGCCAATTAGAAAGCTGTGTTTTAAAGAGGTATGGCACTTGCCTGTACCCCCAGCTAAAATGCAGTAGAGCTAGAATTCTGATCCAGGAATGCTTGATTTTAAAGCCGTGTGCTCCCGTGGGGTCACCAGATCACCTCCTCTCAGCCTGGTATCTGTAAACCCAGCAGGAGAGGACAAAGGAAGAGTCCAGTGGAAGCTAAACCCCCATCGCTGACACCACGCAGAGGGCCCCAGTGCAAATTTCCTGGGGGTGTGCTCCTTGCCTGTGATTCTGAACTCCCTTCCCCTCTAAGTGAAGGCGTTATTCTGCCCCCGCCCCTCGTGAATACAAAGCTGTCTGTAACCTAAATTGATCATAATTAGATTTTTTAGCACATAATTACAAGATTAATGGATTAATCATAATTTATTTGCAAATCATGAAAAGCATTACTCAAAAACATTTTCCCTGAAGATCGTTTGGGTTGCCCATGGCAAGATAATTAAAGAAACAGAGGGAGAAAAAAAAAGAAAGAAAGAAAAACACACAACCATCAGCCTCATTAAAGATAATCAAATAAACCCACAAGTTAATTGAGCTAACTCTGCCGTCTGTGGTGTGCCAAGAAACCAGGCCTGTTTCCAGGTGCTGAACTGGCTCTTCAGAGGCCGTGTTAATGAATTACTCTGCCTAAGTGTTTTCCCATCTTTCCTTTTGTCCGGAATAGCCTCCGTTTGATGGTGAAGATGAAGACGAACTATTTCAGTCTATCATGGAGCACAACGTCTCCTACCCCAAATCCTTGTCCAAGGAGGCCGTTTCCATCTGCAAAGGAGTAAGTAGATTTGGATGCATTTGGTGATCACGGATCAAGAGGTTCCTCAGGGAAATAACACCCCCACACTTCTGAGAGAGGCGGCAGAAATGTCACAAACTCGCCCCTGCTTTTCAGCCCCGGAGGGCTGGGCTTCGTGTCATGCAGGGCACAGTGGGGACAGTGAAGGCAGAGAGGATGCTTTGAAATCCCACTGCTTCCTGGAACTCTGGCCCAGCCACCTTAGTGCACTGCATTTGTTTGCAGCCCATTTCATAAAATTGTGGTAGAGATTGTCACAAACAATCAGAGGCCCTTGGAAGACATTAGTTCTTGGTCTCATGCGTCCCTTGGTATAATGTAATTCTTTGTTAGTTTTTCTCCTTTTGAGATAGAACATACAGGCAGAACTGGGCAGAAATCATCAGCATGCAGGTAAATGAATTTTCATGAAATGGACAGGACCATGTCATTGTGCCCAGGTCAAGAAACAGAACGTTTCCAGCACCTGAGAAGCCCCTGCCTGTCCTGTTTGTGGTCACAGCCCCAGCCCAAGACACCCAAGAGAGCCAGCTCCTGGATCCCAACTGCATGGATCAGGCTGCGTGTTTTGAACTTTGCACACATGGGATCTGTGGCCTGGCTTCTTTCAGGCGACCCTGTGATTGCAGAGCTTATCTGTGCTGCCATGTGGGGTTATGGTTCCTGTGTAGTATTCCTCCGTGTGACCGTACATGGTTTCTGTATCTATTCCACTTCTCATAGATATGTGGGTTGTTTCCACTTTGGTTGGAGGCTGATATAAACAGAACTGCTGTGAACCTTCTGGCCATGTGTTGTGGTACAACATAGGAACACATTTCTGTCGAGGAAATGCCTAGGAATGGAACTACTGCCTGTAACTTGGCTGGTTTTTTAATGGTAAAGTTTCAGGTCACAAAATTATCCTCAGACTTAGTAAAATGTCAGTATAATGTGCCCTTAACATTTTCTGATGAGGTCCCTCCTTTGGGAAGCATTCATCATGTATCTTCAAGGGCAAGCACTGGGAAGGGATGCTGAGGTCAGAGAGAACTGACCCCTGCCTTTGAAAAGCGTGTGGTCAGTTTGCCTCGCCCTCCTGCAACAGGCACGTTGAAATGGAGTAGTCGCTTGGACACACAATTTTTATTGACTGCATGGCTTTTTACCAAGTTGACATATAGGCCACAGCTCTAAAACAGATACTGTACCAAGATGCCTGTTTAAGTTCTCTTTTTCCATTTGGCCATGGGTTCAGGTTGCTCCCTGTTTCCTTATCTTGAAAATCATTATAGAGAGGCCAATGTTTATCATTGTCATCTTTGTGCATTGGCTTCACTCTTTGCAGGCCACCAGGAAGCTTCCCATGATGCCATCTGGGAGTTCACGAAGTCAAGGCTGTAGGCAGAGCAGAGCAAGGGCGAGGTGCCGTCTCTGGGAACCCAGGTCACCCAGTGTTCTCTTTTCCTCCTTTTATTTCCTAGCTGATGACCAAACACCCTGCCAAGCGGCTGGGCTGCGGGCCTGAGGGAGAAAGGGACGTCAGAGAACACGCCTTCTTCCGGAGGATCGACTGGGAGAAACTGGAGAACAGGGAGATCCAGCCGCCGTTCAAGCCCAAAGTGGTGAGTCCAGAAAAGCAACCTGTTTCCTGAGCCCCGTTTCCCCAGATTCCGGAAGGGTCCCACCCACCCTTGTTCTTAGAGTGGATGACAGTGACCTTTGGCTTTGCAGGGTGAGGAGAACGGCCACATCCCTTGTCCTCAGTCCTGTGGGCTGAGCAGCCAGGCAGGGTTCCTGCTGACATTGGAGATGAGGATGGGGGAGGCCAGGAGGGGAACCTGTGCACACTCGGTCCTCCAGTGTGGGCCAAGCAGAGAGCGAGAGCTGGTCTGCTAGGGGGCTGCACACTCAGCAGAGCTATATGCATAGCCTGAGTCCTGGGCTGGACTTGGCAGATGTCAGCCGCCTCATTCACACCACCTGCCACTTTGCAGTGTCCCCGAGGGAGTCCCATGCAAGGGCCCGGCGGAGGCTGCCTTCCAGCCCTGCCACTGTTCACCGGCATTGACCAGCCACCTGTAGTCCCTCTCCAAGACCGCAAAGGGAGCTGCTTACTCCACAGCCAGTTGCAGAAGCGTCCACCTCTCGTTCAGCTCAGATCTGTCTCTTCCGACAGGCCCCCGTGAGCACCCAGCAGGGACCCCTTGGGTGGCCAGTTACTGGCTGCTCAGCCCCCAGCTTTATTATCAGAGCAGCAGCTTCCTCCTCCCACGTGCCTCCATGTTCTCTACTCCAGAAATAAAAAACTGCTGGTGGTGAGCCCACTAGATTTTATTTTTCCAAAGTATTTTTAGCCTAGACTGAGGGAAAACTAAAATTAATCAGGTCAGTTGACTTCCTCCGGAATCATCATTTCAAATAGAGCCCCTAGGTGTTTACCACCCCCACATTCTCTTTTGCCACTGACTCAGGATCATGGGATCCTACTCTTCAATGGACAAAACCTGCTTTTTAGGTTTCGGGGGTTGGCCAGGGTGGTAAACAGTGCGGCCAGTGGGCTCAGTAACAGGTTCTGTTGGGAGTTTCTTTTTTCCCTTTTGCCTTTTATATTTATCTGTCTTATGAAATTAAAATAGGAAGGGAATGCATTAACACCCTAAACACAGTTTACTTTATAGGAACAACATTGAGACACACACTGACCCTGCTTTGAAGGCCGAGCAAAATGCAAAAACTTGTCATTCGCTGAGTTGCAGCCAAGTTCACCATAGATCCATGTTTCTCTATTTACTTCCACCTTATGGCAGAGGAGAGTATCTATCTGCATGGTTTCCCACTTGTCGTGGCTCTTTGGTCCTACACTTGGACATAGGGACGACAAGAAGGTGACATGATTCTGGCAACTGAGAACATGAACGGTTGCCTGTGGGCCACAAAGGTTGCTGGGAGCAAAGTCATGCCCATGGCAGGGAGTAGCATCAGAAACCGTGTTTATTATTTTTTATTCCTACACTTCTGCTGTCTGTCCACTTTTTTCCTTAATTTTTTTTTAAACTGAGTGCTAGTTAAAATAAAAAAACAGAAGAATAAAAATGCCTCTGGCTAGGAAGAAACAGCCCCTGAACTCACACACAGAAGCAGGAGTCATGGACCATCTCCCTGACACTGACAGATTCATGGGAAAGGCTGTACAGGGCAAGAGTCTGGCCATAAGGAAGGGAGAGGCCAGAAGCCCACGTTCTGCTGGAGAACCGGTGCATGAAAGAGGAAGAAGCTAGAAAAAAATACTGATGGACAGGAGCTGGGACCGCAGGGGAGAACAGAACAACAGCGGAGGTCAGCAGCAGAGAGTCAAGGGCAAAGAAACAGATGGGGCAAGTTCTGGTCCCTGGAGGGCAGCTGGAGAGCTGTCTTCCCTCCTGACGCCGGGCCACCCTCATGGCAGCAGCCAGGCTCTGAATCTCACATGAGGCGGCGTGTCTGAGACCAGGTGACACACCATGCCAACAACAACTCCAGCAGTTGAGGGAGACCTTCAGGACAGAAGAAAACAACCAAAGTCAAAGCCACAGCACATGCCGCAGTTAACACAGGCAGCAGGGAGGACAGGCTGCATGTGCTGGTTACTCTGTGCAGTGGGGTCCAGTGTCCTCAGGGAGAAGTGTACTGCAGCTCCCGGGCCGGAGCTAATTGAAAAAGTCACAAGAGTTTACAGATGAAATACAGAGCTGAACATTCTCTGACAGGCGGTTTCATTATTTCAAAGAGAGAGGCAGCAATGCCAGCCTCTCTGGCACTGCTGACGGGGGCAACGGGAGCAGAGCGGCGGGGGTAGCCCGTTGCTGCCAGGCACTGTCCCTGACAGCAGGCAGGCAGCACGTTCCTGAGAGTTCATCTCTGAGCAGAGTCGTTAACCCTGCCTGACCACCCTCATCTGCCGTACTAACATCTGCCTGGCCCTCTTTATAGCAAGTGCTGGTGAATCAATGTCCCTGCAACTTCAGGGATTAAAGACCAGTAGCTCTTCCCATGAGCAGAACCCACTCCTGGCTCCCACAGGATTAAGCCTTTGCTTATTGAGAAATTCAAGTATTGACAATTATTTGCTGGGTGCCTCCACAGACCAGGTTTGTACCTGTCGGATCAGGAGTCTGTCATCTTTGTTTTGTTTTAATTTTTTAATATTTTTGAACTACCAATGAAAAATGATTCCAGAATCACTGACTTCCCTAAGGAGGGTGTGAGGATATTCTATCGCTGGACAGCTACGGGGCTTATCCAGAGGAATCAGCGTTCCCACAGCCTGCAGTCTTTTTATCATCTTCTCGATTGCCAAAGTGACATTACTGACGCTAACCTTTAGACCAAAGTACCAAGCAAAGTGTATCCCACTGCAAAAGGCATTTCATAGGCCTTGACCCATCACGAGTCTCTGCATTGAACTTTCCCTCCCATGGGACAGGAGAGGAGAGAGGTGAGTGACCAGCAGCAGGTGTTGGAAACTGGCCATGTCCCCTGACAGTGACAAGTCTAGAGGCTGGGAGGTGAGGGAAGAACCTGTCCTGTAACAGGCAGCGGGGGAGAGCCCAGTCCTGGACAGAGCCACTTGGGTCCCCAGAAGGCCACACGTGCCAAGGTGCAGATGAAGATGAACTTCCAGAAGACAGAACAATCCCTTGGCAGGGTAGAGCCTTTCTAGTCCTGGTTAATTTTATAAAACAAAAGCAAAGGCAACAACGGACAGCTGGGCCGTGCTCTCCTGAGATGAGACGGCCGATGAGCTGTCTCTTCCTCTTTATGAGACGCGCACCAAGCAAGCTGGGCTCAGGGATCTCTTCAAGGAAACATAGCGTAGAGAGGCCTCTGCTCCACACAAAAGGGTCATCAGCTCAGTGTTTGCCTGATGTCCTCAGCAGCAAACCCAAGTCATCAAAAAGAGGCCTGTGAGTGTTCAGAAGATTCCACATCAGAAGATACTTTCATTTAACTTTTAAAAAGATGTCACCTGTTAATCTTCAGTCACCAAGGGAGAAGTGGGTATCCATGGTGTCCCGTGAAGGCGGTTGGGTGCCGTCAGCCCACTGCACCCAGCTACTGGAAAGCTCCCTCTTTCTGCTTTGCCTGAAAAACAAAAGCCCCAATGTTCAGATCCAGTGTCACTGTTAACTTTGGAGGCTTTATCCGGATATGTAATTCATGTGAATGAACTGGCCACGAACAGCCTTCAAGTTTTCACTCGTTCTGCCCGTGATGAGTAGCAGTTTACACAAATACTGGGAGTATAAAGTTGATTGATTTTTCCTTTTTTAAATTTCTACCAGGCGGCACCTGTGGCTCAAAGGAGTAGGGAGCCAGCCCCATATGCTGGAGGTGGTGGGTTCAAACCCAGCCCCAGCCAAAAAGTGTAAATTTCTATCCATTGACACCAGAAACATTCACTGTAACTTCAGTGGCTCTTAGGGAAAGAGAGAGAAATGAATCTATCAAGTTAACACAAGAGGTCTATTCGAGAGTGGACAGGCGGGTAGAGAGCTTTGGAAATAGGCTCTTCACAGGTGGCCTTTCTTGAGAAATTACTATAGTTATTTTATCAAAGAGAGAGAGAGAGAAATAGCCTAAGTTTCATTGAGACATTGGCATCTTTGTAACAAGACCCAAAGAGAGTAAGAACCCTGGGGGCAGGTGAGAACACCCAGCCATGATTCCTTCCCAGTCGCTGCAAAGTCCTTTCCTTATTTCACCATCCTGTTAACTTGTTTAGGGAGCTTGGTGGCTTAGTTGTCTTAAGTTGGTGCAGTGATCCTTTTTATTTTTAAAAAATTAAATCTGGAAATAATTTCTGATTTCAGATTCACAGAAGGGGCAGGAAAGTAATGTAAAGAATTCGTGCGTTCGCTGTGCCCAGATTCCCTAAATGTTAACTTTTTACCACGTTTGCTTTATCATTCATTTCTCTGTCCCCGTCTGTGGGTACAGACACGCATATACATATGTTTTGTTCTGAACCTTTTGTGCGTAAGTTGCAGATGGGATGCCTCTTTCCACCGAAATAACTCCATTTGTATTTCCTAAAGATAAGGACATCATTATGGTACTGTGTTCTTTTGATAATTAGCCTGGAAATTAGGTAGAGCAGAAGCTTTCCAGGTAAGAGGAGGTGGGCCCTGGCCTGCTTTGTCCGGCCAACAGAATACCGGAGGCTGCCCCGGCCCTGTCTTATCCGTTCTCTTGGGTGGCAGGTAGCTGCCTTCTCTCGGTCTTTCCCTTGAGTCAGTGGGGGTGCTGCTAATTAAAATTGAGATTCTCCAGACTTGGAGAGTTTTTCCACCACATACAAGTACTAACCAGACTTTGGAGACTAGCAGAAGTCACAGGATGATGCATTTAGGTTTGATTTAAGCCTTTAGCCAATCTAAAAGAGAATCTTTAACTTGGTTAATTAGAGGCAAGCAGTTTTTCCTATTCTTTGGTAATTACTCTCCCAAATACTTTTCTGCTTTGAAGAACAATTGAAGGAAAAGAGACATGTAAACTGACAAGGCATGTGAAGAACCAGCCAGCCTCAGGGGCTTCAGTGGTGAGTGGCAGCATAAAGACGATTGGTGTGAAGCAATTGCCTCGC